GATGAAGGTGAGTCTCAAACATTGAAAATGAAGGCAGGTAATTTCGTTAATAGTTTAGTTCTCAGAATCAAACAATAAATTGTTTTGCGATGAACGACCTTTACTGCAAAGAGCTAGAAATTTTCAGAAACGATTCTGCAATACGATGATAAAGTTTTACCTTAGAGGCCTATACAGTCATTCTTAAAGAAGAAATTCGGGGAATAACACATGAGGCCCAAATCCCATTAAGGTATGCAGGTCTACTGCGTGTTTTAATATTTTATTTAGATTATGTAACTCTGTGATCTAGTGGTCAGTGGTTCTGGTTACAGATCCAGTTCGATTCCCGGCGCTACCAGATTTTCCGAGAAGTAGTGGGTATGGAACGGGGTCCACTCAGCCTCGTGAGGATAACTGAGGAGCTATTTCACGGAAGTAGCGGCTCCGGTCTAGAAAACCGAAATGAACGGCCGTTGGGATTCGTTGCGCTGACCACGCGACACCCTCAATCCGCTAAAGTTGGCGCTAACTTCGCTGACAAGCGGCGGTCGTTCGGTCGGTATAGTTCGCTAGCGGACTGAAACCACGGAGTTTGTATGTAAATTTACAGTACAGCAATAAAACCCAGTAGCTCATGGGGTAACTTACTTCAGTCTTCTGCAAATATTCATGCGAACATATCCATTTTTATTGCTCTCAAATGTATGTTGCATAATAACAAATTACTTACTTACTTACTTACTTACTTACTCATGGAGCTGAGCCCTTTGGGAGGAGCCGCCAATTCTGCAGCTACTCAAATATTTCCCAGCATTTTATGAAACTCGAAGGTTCATTACCGTGTCTACAAGAGCCCTCCACTGATCCTTATCCGGAGCTAGATCAATCCAATCAATACCATCCCATCCTATCTCTCTAAGATCCATTCTAATATTGTCCACCCACCTACGTCTTGGTCTTCTCTGTGGCCTCTTTCCTTCTGGCTTTCCCACCAATATCCTATACGCATTCCTCGTCTCCCCCATTCGCGCTACATGACCTGCCCACCTCATCCTCCTTGACGTGATCGTTCTAATTATACTTGGAGAAGAGTATAAGTTATGAAGCTCCTCATTATGCAGTTTACATAATAACAATTATTATTATTATTATTATTATTATAGTTAGGAATGTTTAGGAAAATATTTAGTACCTTAGTACATATTTTGTCGATGCTAGATTGGTATGACATAATTTCAAAATTTTGCACTGTCGCCATATGTATGATTGTTGCACCTTTTCAAGCATGTTATTACCTGTCCCTATACAAAATATAAAACAGAACCAAAGCTCTAACAACAGCCCCATTGCATTACGAGTATAAATGGTTCTGATACCAACTGTATATTTCGGCATGTAACATCGCCATTTTCTGGGGGATTTAATTACATGAAACATTCATTTTCTTTAAATATAATGCAACATAAGCGCTGTTAATCTTATATGATGTGCTTTGCTTCAATGTTTAATAAGAAATTTGATATAGTCCATTTTGTCCCTTCGTTCAAAATTCTCACAATTACAATATTCCATATATATCAAAATGTGGCAAGTTTAATTGTACTTTAAATATATTTATTTTAATGTTTTAAGGTTATATTTACCACATTCAATATAGAACGAACAGCACTTGGCCTACATTATTATAATAATTTACATCATAATAAAGTACCTAATTTGACTATAAGCAAGTAGTCGTTTATGCTGTGGATCCATCTGAAGATAACAATATAAAATGACGAAACATGCAGTGGGTAGAACATAAAGTAGAATACGAGAAGAAAAGAAAATCAAACGATAGGGAGAAGAATCGAACGGAGAGATATCTTATTTTTCTCTGTCTGTCTGTCTGTCTGCCTGTTTGTATCTCTGTCTGGAACCATACACAGGAAGAGTTCACCCGCCGGCCGGCCGGCCGCCAAATCTGTTCACATCGATCCGGACCTAGTTTTCCCGAGCACAGTTCAGAGAGAGGAACAGCGAAAGAGGCACAGAGGAAGTGAGAGGGAGAATGGAAAATTACTTTGCATGTCTCAGCAATAATGTATGAAGCTTTTGAACTTATAAAGGGGTTCTCTCAATTCCTTTTCCTTACTCTAAATTCCAAATATATTCCCCTTAACTATAAGCTTAGAGCAAACTTGTGATTTAGCCGAAATTCTTTGCTGCAAAAGAAGTCTATTACTGGTGCAGTGCGAAGAGCTGTACCATAGAGTCACGCTATTAATGTTGGTAAGGAAATTCTGCCTCCCCCCCCCNCACACACACACACAGAATATAACAATCCGCTCTGCAGGGGGAAATGATTTACTACCAAACTATGCTTCAGGACGTAACCTATAACCCATTTCATAAGATTTCTCTTCTCTTGTTAGACTTTCTCAGCATTTTCGGAAACAAATTGCTATTATACTATTATTCCAGGGATTCCATGCTGAATACTTTGAAGTTTAGCTTGCTGACCCTTCAGATTCAAGTTAGCAGCTGGAGAATATTCGCGCACCGTGGAAGAATTCTCGCGTGCTTAGTACCGGAAGTGGTTTCATCTGGTCATACTCTCATTTACCACAAGCCCAATGTGCAAAACTGGGATCCGGTATGCCGCCCAACGTTTGGAAGTTCACTTCCGAGCTGTCTGAATAAGGGCGGAAATTGTATCAAACAATCTGCAACGGTGGAACAAAATAATGTTGGTAATATCGGAAATCCTAACATAATAATAATAATAATGATGCTGACATCATGACTCAGACGGTGTGCTGCGGTTTTCATAATCTCATTTGTTTCAACTGTGCTCCTTTCTTTGCATCATGTCTCAGATATCGTGTCTTGACTGTTACATGTCTTGACGCATGCCGGTGTGCGGCTTAACTAAGACAGCAAATGGAAAGAAAAAGAACTCGTTGGGCAAAGACCACTACTTTTGTCAGGCCAGTATCGAAGAAGAGGAAGAAGAAGAATGGCAGGTTCGTGGTCTGTTTTGACATTCGCTTGGAGAGACTGAAGAAATCACGAAGAAGCTGAGTCAGAATATTCTGTAGCTGGAGCGCTATTCGAATTGGTATTTGCCGAATACAAATACAGCGATCCCTTGCTAGTTGCTGGTATCCTTGATAAGGCACGCTGACTGGTAAGAAACTTAATGCTAGGAGAACCGTGAACTCTGCTGACAGTCGTCATAGAATGAGAACCGGGAGGCGGGAGCAACCAGCTTTCTGAGGGGAAGCCTACTTATTAGGGTAAATCTAGGTTTTCAAGGGTTGACACACAAAAAAAAAATTGCTTAAAAACTTACATTTAAGCCCTTAACTTACTAACTCCATAGAGAAGAATCCTTATTGAGAAGCTCCTTGTCGTTCAGCTACTCAAGAATTTCCAGATATATTATGGAACCCGAAGGTTCAGTACCTTGTTCACAAGAACCCACCACTGGCCCCTTCATGAGCCAGATCAATCCTATTTCTAAGCTGTTTAAATCTACTTTTACTAATTACGGTCCTTCTAATTTATATTATTAATGTGTGGCGTATTGTAGTACGAATGGGGGAGAGGAGACATGCATATAGGATATTTGTGGGAATGCCGGAAGGAAGGAGACCACTTGGAAGACCAAGACGTAGGTGGGTGGACAGTATTAAAATGGATCTTAGAGAGATAGTTTGGGATGGTATGGATTGGATTGATCCGGCTCAGGATAGGAACCAATGGAGGGCTCTTGTGAACACGGCATTGAACCTACGGGTTCCATAAAATACTGGGAAGTTCTTGAGTGGCTGCACAGTTGGCAGCTTCTTAAGAAGGGCTCAGCTCCGTGAGTGAGTGATGTGTGGTGTATTCCCATTTTTCTTCAATTTTGTGTTTTATTTTTCTAAAGATCCTCTGCGGAGTCATGCATCACAACGCAAACAGTACCCACGTAATAATATGTTTACTAAGAATTTCGTCATAAAACACGAACGTGTCAGAAAGACGTGCCACAATGGCTGTTTCGAAGCTACAATATTGATTTCGGATATCATTATAGCTCTCGCCATGGTAAATATGGATCCTCTTGTGCTCAAGTTATCTATTCTACATATGTGTACACAAATAAAGATCATGGACATATACACCGGACCGTTCATGAGGACAGACGCCGGTAGATTTCGTCTAGGTGGTTCCAGAGAGTATTTTTTTAATGAAGTTATTTACAGTTCAAGACTTCGAAACTATCGTTCACAACAATGGTGCATGTCGGAAAGAATTCCCAAACTTGCGTTGTAATAATTTTGTTTACAACACGCGTAGATATTCTCCTGGCTCTCTTACTTTTTTGGGCTGTCTAGCTAGTTCTGAAAAGTTATTTCCATTCCTGTACATAAAAGCAAATGCTGCTGTTAGCAGAGTTTTATGCAAATGGAATTCCACGATTACTTGAAGTCGGCTGGAGGCAAAATCGAGAGAAAGTTCCGGAAAAGGCCTTAGAGCTACTCTATCATTCCCGATCGTGGATGAGTACAATACACGGTTATAGGATTTCATATGCCGCTAGTTGTTTAGAGTATTAATTCCCTAGAGCTCATTAAAATTAAGTCTTTTACGTAGTTATGCCGCTAATTAGTTCAATATGACTCCATTTGCTTTCTTTTGAAATACGGAAGAAAGGAGTTTTCTCAGTTTTCTATGTCACACGTTCGCTACTTTTGTAAAAATTCTCTTTAGAGAATTGGCTATGAATGTTAAGAATGCCCATTATAATTGCAATAATAGCGTAAGAGGGTAGTTTGCTGAGCCGAGGGGGTTGTGTAGTCTGCGCTCCCTCTCTACCCGCATCTCCCCTTCAAAACCGACGTCGTCCCTCTTTCTCCCTCCGACGCCCAAAAGCTACATTGATTGGTGAATAAGCATCATACCGCTAGGGGTCTCCGAGATCGTTTCGGTCGGGTGTTTCTTTTTCACCGACGAGGCGCTGGTGTCGGCCTGCAGCAGTGGCAGCCAGACCCTCTGTCGCCTGCGAGCAGAGCCATGCCGTGCAGTTCAGTATTAGTAGACTGTTCGCGGTCATACACAGTGCAAGTGCAGTGATATTATGACAGTGTATTTTGCAATATATAAAATTTATTTTTAAAATAAATACAGTGTTATGTAGAAGTGATATTGCAGTGTTATATTTTGATTATAAGAAAGATAGAGAAAATATATATTTGGGAGTTAGAGAATAAATAATTGAAGAAAAAAAAAGAGGAGATACTGACGAATCAAAATGGTGGTTTTTTGTATAATAATTGAATTATCGAAAAGGGAAGAAATAATTCGTTAGCAGTCTGGAGGTGGTAAAGGGGCGGTGGTGGTGGAGTTGGGGGCGGCAGCACAGGCAGAGGCACCGGCTCCGGGGGCTGGCGGGGTTTCGGGGCCCCATCATGGCCTGCTGGCTGCTTGCCTCCTGGAGTGCCCTCACATGGATTGCATCAGGTAAAACGAGCCGGCTTCCCTTTTAGTTGTTTTAGTATTTAGAACAGTACTTAACGCTTTTCTGCTTCTACATAGTTTGCGTAGTATGTGTGTGTATTTGTGCTAGCACTGCGACTGCATGTACCGGCATTTGCCCCATGCGACTCTGATTCCAGTAGGCATTTGACAACTGATCATATCTACCGCCAAAATGTCATCAATATTAACACGTAACTGTGCATAAACGTAATATTAAAAGAAAATGGTATAACTTTATAACACACTGTCCATTTGCCTCTGATACACTTGAATGATTAGTGCGTGCAGTGCTGCTACAGCTATCTCTATTCGCACGCAACTCAACTGCCCTGAAGATGGAGGCGATATGTTCCTCCGAAACGTCGGTTAAAACGAAGAATACACATCGCCAGATCCCAGAAGACGACTTTCTTCATAGTCATCGCCGTGAAAACCTCAAAATTTAAATAAATTAATACGGTCTTCAGACTTATATATGGAAGGAAAATTCTGATGTCGCTTGTGGCAGAGATCTCAGAGGTCCCTTGATTTGAATCTCAGAACGAAGACAGACTGTCCGGATATGTTTTCTCTAACCTCAATTCCGGTAGGCAAATATTCAGGCAGTACTTGGCGTGGGCTATAACCGATTTCTTCAAAGAATATTCAAAATCATCGACAGCCATCCTGCCTAGCGGCGTATAATTCAAGGTTTCGTAAAATGACCCAAGAAAATCAATGAGGAGAATTATTGTTTGGAATTCACATTCACATAATGCACTTGATCTAATCAAATTCAGGCCATATGGCTGATACTTTCTGCAACTTGACTTTGTTGTAACTAATTCTGCCATTATAAACAGATAAATAGATTAAGTCAACGCAAGTAACTGTGAGACTGAAATGAAACTATTACAAACGAGACTTAGAATTCTCGGAACGCTTCGATATACCTATTTAAATATGAATCTTTGTAGGAATAAATACGAGTATATACTATTTTGAATGGTATATAGAAATTGCTGAGTTTGGTTTATTACATTCTAATCTATCTGATATCTCAATCCAAGGATGGAAAATGATTTTATAACGGGGGTACGGATGAGTTTTGTAGTGATACGAGGTTGGATAATCTATAAACTGAGTGGCCGCGCCATAGGTCAAGCGGTTAGTTACTGACTTCCCACCGCGGCGGCCCGGGTTCGATCCCGGGTCTGATCAAGTGGGATTTGTTGTGGACAAAGTTGCGCTGGGGCGGGTTTCCTTCGAGTAATTCGGTTTCCCCGTGCCAATCTTCATTCCACCAAATTCTCCATCATCATAATCACCCGGAGCAGGCTACACTAGGCCAATCAGTGTCTGCCGTGCCGAGTGGATCCAGCTGGACTCCACCCCCCACTAATCTAGAAAGTAATTTAAATTGTTAAAAATGTTAAACCCTTACAAGTGATTTATCTCGACTGAATGTAATTCATAGATACATCCGAGTAAATAAAATTAACGTTATTGGTAACAGATTTGGGCAAGGTATCCTGCATCCATGACTCATGTGTTCAAGGTATTTAGACACGTAACAAACCGAACTTAAATTGCCTCCCACAACTTTCATATTCCAAAAGGTATGTAAGATAAATGAAAAGAAGTGAATGTGTGCGTTGCTTGCGGAATGAACTGGAGAATCTGGGTTATGTCCCGACAGGGACTTTCATCCATTGCCTCTGGATACCATCCAGCCTCCCGTAAACTGAATATGGGTATCTATTTCAATAGAAATAAAGAGTCCAGAGCTTGAAGCTGACCACTTACTTTTAACTAAAGAAATGATTAACAATTCTTGGAGTTTATACCCTAGCCCCCATATGTGTACGTGGTTTGAGGATTAAGCACAGAAAGAACTTTAACTGCAGAGATCCTGAGCTTTTGATTATCTTAAGAAACCCCGTCTTTATGTACTTCTGAAAGTTAAGATTATATATGCATGTGAAAATAAATTGAATCAGATAATTGGCATTGTCATATGTATTAGTGACTTGTAGATGGGGTTCGGAATTGGTGAATCGATTTACTGGATAATCACAAGTCGTAACTACAATTAATCGTAACATTTTGAGGATTACTGTAACCGTAAGACACAAAATGAATTCTTGAACGTCTGCTTACTAGTCGTTACTTAGTAACACTTCAACTATTGAATCTTCAGTCCTCTGGAACTCTCTCACTGTTGTCTCAATCTCGGACTGAACTAACTTTATGCGGACCGAATGTAGAACACTCAGTCGGACAACTGAGTCCTCTGTTATTCTCTGTTGCCATGAAACGTGTGTCAGTCTCCGGGCAAATGAGTTTTACAAGCGTATTCGTCGTCTCTGAAATTTGTTTAACTAACCGTTGCCTAGCAACAGGCGTTTCTGTTGTGCTTTCCTGACTACACACTTCTGGTGTTTAGGTGTCATGTCAGAATATGTTCCGTTATGACTGCAAGCCAGATTGAAACTTCTAGAGCGACAATCCACCGATTGAACGTATTTTGAAACAGTCTCGTAGTCTGCTGTTGAGTTGGTTTATACTTAATTAACCGGCTCTAAAACCTGCAACTCTGTCTTACCTGATATATTACATACTGAAATATTACATGATATGTAAAACGTAAAACAAACCTATTATATACCACGGTTATACGTTCATCAGACAAATTGGGCCATTTGAAACACAGCAGTAACTAGTGTCATTTGACTGCCAGGGATGTTTCAAAGGCTAATGTGTGAAGCAATGGTGAGACGAAGTGGCTGTCTGAAGTGTTAAAGATAAAAGTCTAACACCGTGAACATCCGCATGAAATTAGCTCATAAGTTTTTCGTAGTGAAACCGAAATACATCTACGGTTTTCCCAATTCCTTCATTGTGATTCTTCGTAAGCCTCAATTCACCGTACTTATTTTATTTCACTTTATTTGATTAAATATTAATCTTTTTTAGGAAGTTTAAATATTCTCAATAATATCTATATTTTATTATATGTATCAATAATGGTGCAGAGTCTCTTCTAAGAAATTTATCAATTATATTTGAATGTAATATAAAGTAGGAGTAATGTTGGACTGCTAGGAATCATAATACAATTTAAATCTTATAATTTAGATTTCACCAAGTACCAAGTTTCGTCAATGTATCATGATTATGAGTCAAGTCCTATTGAATACTTTATCAAAATATACTAATCATAAAATGCAGTTTGGTTTTGCCAAATTAAAATTAAGTTAATTCATTTTATCAACTGATATTATCTAAACGTGTGATGTAATAATTAGGACTGATGTTTTATATTGTAGAAATTCTTGAGCTGGGTTCGAGTATGTGCTGGCGATTTAGTGCACTGATTATATATCGTAGTTCTTCACAGATATTACAGAATAAAATTAGTGTAATATCTTAAATAATTTAGGAACACTTTTTCCCATAATTCTTCAAATTCGTTTTCCATAAAAAGGACCCACATGTCGTTTTATATACCGGACACTTGTAAATTTCGGCAAGTTTTGGATGTTAGACAGTCATAGGAACCCTGAAAAGAATATTATAACTGGTTACACCACCCTTTGTAATTTCAGTCTATAGGATAATTACATCATAATGAGGAGCTTCATATCTTGCACACTTCTCCAAATATAATTAGAATAATCAAATCAAGGAAGATGAGGTGGGCAGGTCATGTAGCACGAATGGGAGAGACGAGGAATGCGTATGGGATATTGGTGGGAAAGCCAGAAGGAAAGAGACCACAGGGAAGACCAAGGCGTAGGTGGGTGGAAAATATTAGAATGGATCTTAGGGAGATAGGCTGGGATGGTATGGATTGGATAGATCTGGCTCAGGATAGTGACCAGTGGAGGGCTCTTGTGAACACGGTAATGAACCTTCGGGTTCCATAAAAGGGTGGGAAATTCTTGAGTAGCTGCAGAATTGGCGGCTCCTCCAGAAGGGCTCAGCTCCATGAGTAAGTAAGTAAGGATAATTACATCGGCTTAAGTCTCTAAGAAAAAAGATATATAATTAGAACTCTGGTGGAAGTATTTGTTATTCGATTTTATTTATTTATTTATTTATTTCTCTCTCAGTGCTTTGATATTCCATGACAGAAACAGTAATAATTACGTATATGGGATTTCGAGACTGTATATCAGCACTGATGTTCTCCGCATGTGAGAACTGTATAGGAAAAATATTCCTCTGTAACCGGGAAAATGTACAGAGCCACCGGTACTTGTTCTGCACATAACGTTCTAATTCTTTTTTTCTCTCTGTGGCTCTACAGCCCTTTGGATCTTGGCCGCTTTTTCATTTTCTTAATCCTATACAGAGTTGGTTGGATTCCTTGGAAAGGGGATCAGCCCTCGCAAAGCCAATACCTACACGCAAAACAACACAAACACAGAATAAAACACACAGACATCCATTCCTCGAGTGGGATTCGAAGACACAACCCCAGTGTTCGAGTGAGCGAAAACGATTGGTGCCCTAGACCGTGCGGTCACTGTGTTCGGCACGTTCGAACTACCAGAGGTAACATTGTCCCTGTGTTTCAACAAACACCACGCCTTCAAGACGTACTGTGGGTGGAGACGTAGCTTAATGTATTTTAACCTCTGCACTAGTTGGAAGTGAGTAGTCAGCTTCACATCGCCGCTGCTTTACTTCCGGGTAAAAAGCCCCCGGTAACTACCAAACGAGGGGCTAGGTGGGTCCCAAAGCCGGTCTGGATGCTATGAAGGAGGGAGAAGTCTGTTTCTCTGCCTGAAATCGGGCTCAGATTCTCCCGCTATGCATGGAGACGCCCAGTTAATATAATGACTCTATCTCGGCTCCGATTAATGCATGCAATAAAATTTTCAGGGTGTCATATAGGCTTATTTTGCAGCAAAATCTTTGTTATTCACGGTTCAGTCATTCGGCACAGACATTTTTTCGTGCGAGTAATTTAATTCCATGAACCTATACACCTGTGA